AGAGTAGTTTTCATGAAGGATTCGTTGTAAATTATCACTCTTCCCTAAATCAGTTTTGTAGTCACAAGCTAAAATGAAAGCAGTAAGACTGTGGTATCTGAAAAATCCAAATGTTTTTATAATATGAATTAGCAAATGAAATTTTCATGAAAGATACTGTACTGTAGCCAAATAAACCTATGGTGTCCTGATTGACTTTAAATTTTACAAGTTTTCCTTCGAACAAATGTTATACACATTGGATTTAACCTTTTAAAATTGGCTTTTTTTCGACTCTGTTACAGGGAATGGAACACTTGCCAGGCAGGCACTGTGTCTCTGAGCTATATACCTGGCCCGCAACCATTTAAAAAAGAAGGAAAAGATATATTGCAGTGCTACCAAGACCTCAATCAGTCCATTCTTGCTGCCTTATGTGGTACACTTGATCCTTTAGCATGCAAGAGATTCTTTAACAGCCCTATACTCTTGAATCAACCACTTTTCAAGTAAGCTGTAGGTTATGGAATTTGTCTTCCCTTGTGTCTGTGTGAATTGTCAGCTCTCCACCCCTACCTAGCCGCCAGATGTCCCATCCTTTTCTCAGGTGCTTGTCCGGGGAGGTGAAGACAGCTGATTTCCAGCCAGGCTACTGCTGTTCTGGAAACTTAGACCAAATGAAATTAAAGTTTTAAGACACAGCACGACAGACCTGGTTTCAGGTCACTCTTGGCTTTGAGACCAAAGTGGACCTCATGCTGTGGGTCTGATGATCCTTTTTTTTTTTTTTTCCTGTAAAGTATTTTGTTACCCTGCAAGACATTAACTTACACATTTGTGCAGCATTATTTTCACTTTGCCTCCACACTCTGGTTTCTCACCTTTCTGGGGAAGGGTTAGGGTTAGCAATGACAACACACAGGTGCTTTGTCATACCAGCTGGACACAGAAGCATTCGGCCTTTATTTAGAATAAAGACAAGTAAATGTGTTCATATATTATGTCAATTGTAAAAAGTGTCGGTCTACCTTAAATAAATGCTATAATAAAATTATTATTTAAGAGATAGGATATATTAACAGATTATTTTCATAAGATGATGGAAATATCATAACACACATACCTCAAAATAGAATTCCAAAAAAAGAAGTTTTGATAAATTCCTGGCATTGATACTGATATTGAACTTTGCAATAATGTAAAATTCGTTACAATTTTTGTAAAATTAGTTACATTTCTTGCCATCTACTGAAAGAATTTTATGCTGCTTTCTCAGACAATTACAAAATAGTTTATTTCTAGAAGTTACTTTTGAAAATATTATACAGAGTAATTAACTGAAATGGACTGATTTGAAAGTTTTCATCTGAGACATATTTTATCCATTTTATGAACTAATGAAATTTAATCCACTTAAAATAAGAATTTTCTTTAAAATATAAATTAAATCTTAATTTTGTTTTGGGTATATGTATGCATACATATAAATAAAATATACAGTCTAAATTTTATATCATTCAAAAGTAATATTATTAAAATTAAAAGAAGTATTAATATTGCTACCAAGTAATTATTTTAATAATTATTATCAATTATTAAAAGATATTTTTTCAAATTAAAATTTAAAGCTATAACCAATTTTACATTCTTGCAAATTTCAGTATCAGTATCAATGCCAGAAATTTACCAAACCTTTTATTTTTGGAATTATATTTCACAGTATGTGTGTTATGATATTTCCATCATCTTATGAAAATAATCCAACTGTCAATACATCTGTCTCTTAAATAATAATTTTTATTGCATTTATATAAGGTAGACCAACACTTTTTACAATCATCATAATATATGAACACAATTGTTTGCTTTTATTCTAAATAAAGGTCAAATTCTTCTGTGTTCTGATGGGTAATGCGGTGCCTGGTTGGTATCATTGCTAATCCTAACCTTTCCCCAGTCATAGCAGCTTCTGTAATATAGCTCCCCAGTCAGTGCTCCGAATTCCCACATTATGCGGTAATTATGTGATTCGCATGTAGGGCTCTGGATATAGCTCAATGGTTCAAGCTCCTGCCTGGCAAGTACAGGCAGGAGACTGAGTCCCAGTTTTATTTTTAAAATTTCTTTTAATTATTTAGTACTGGGTCTACAGGGTCTCATTAGCCAGGTAGGCCTCATAGTGATTCTTCTGTTTTCAGCCTCCTGAGCCCTGGGATTACAGGCGGGCACCAGCAAGCCCCATCTCAGTGTGTGCCTGGGGTGGAGCTGAGAGGGCAATGGAACCCAGCGTTTAGTTCAATAAGCTATCTGGCCGGCCCTGATTCCTAGTTTTGGAGAGAGGGAAGGATGGAGTGAGGGAGGGAGGTAGGGAGGGACACTTAATTTTATAGAGATAGAACTCAGGACCTTGCACTTGCCAGGTAGGACTTTAAGCTGCTGAGCTCTATCCTCAGCCCCACACTTAATTTTAAAATACACATGCATGAATTTATTTTGGCCACACATACTGTTTTTACTCATCTATATGTTTGGATGTGTGTTATGTTCTATAGGCTCAAATTTAAAATTTCAATCATGCCTCTTCCCAAACACAGAGCATCTGTAAAGATGCATTGTTGCATACATATTTTTAGATATGAAATGGTTGTTCAAATATTAGCACTAAATGAGTTCTAATAGAAATCAAATTAAAATTATATCTATGTGTAACTCTAAATTTTGCCAAATAAGCAAAACATGCAAGTCTCTTGAATTCTTGAAAATATACATGCAAAGTTATCAAAATTATGCATTTTGATTTCTTCTATGAGTGAATAAGGAAATGTCAGGGCCTCAGAGTAGCAAACACCGAAGAAAGGGGTAGCTCACACCCATGTGGTTGGCATTTCTTGCATAGATGTAGTAAATAATGTTGTCATCTGTGGACATCAGAATGTAGTCTTTCCAGCCTGGAAACACAGATCTCTGGGTCTTTCCTCGGGGCTGCAGGACTCTAGCGTTGCACTGAGACTGCATGGCTGATTGCTCTGGACCTGATCTTCAAGCTTCTTGGACTGATCCTCTGCTGGCTTCCTGAGCTCCTCAACCCTCAGCCAGCCAGCCCTTGACCCATTTGAACTTGAAAGCTTGAGAGATCCTGAATAACTGTATAAATATGTAACCTCCAACATAACAATGAAGTTGGAAATTGCATGTTCTGAAAATCCTCCTCTGTTGAATGCCACCTCCCCAATTCTGTTGCTGAAAACCCCTACCATACCTGCTCTTAGCATAGCTTTGCCCTTTCAGAATTTCACATAAATTAAATTGTGTGGGTTGGGTTTTATTTTTTTTATTTTTTTATTTTTTTGTCTTTTAAGTTTGCACAGTATCTCTAAAAGGCACCTAGACTGGTTTGTGTAATGTTTCTTTTCTTTCAGTACCATGTTGCACCCCATCAGCTGATTTAAGCCTCAACTTATTTCTAAATTCACTGATAAATGGAAACATGCTGCTGGCAGTTAAAGTTTGTTAGTGGAGCAGTTGAATGAACAAATATTCCTTGATCAAATAGGAAGAGCAACAAGTGGGGGAAGGGTTAATGGATGGAAAGGAAAATGAAATAAAGAAGACAATAAAAGAGAAGGAAAATGGAAACAGAACTTTAATAAATGAAAAAGAAAAGAAGGATTGAAGAGAAACCAATCAGGAAAAAATAAGAATCACCATATATCATGTACAGGTACAAATGCCATCCGATGAGTGCTATCTTTATGTATATCAAAAGTATACGAATAAAATTAATTAAACAATAAATAAATATCCACATAAATCTGCGCTAACATCTGTTTTCATTTCTCTTTAACAGTTACCTATGAATGGAATTGCTGACTTATATGATAAACGTGAAATTTGCCTTACACAGCTACTTTGATTCCAGTAGTGAGGAACCTACTTAGCATCATAGTTTGATTTATTCTCCATCATCAGTGCCCGAGAGTTTCAGTTTAGTCATTTTATTGAATATGTGTATGGCTAATTATTGTCTTAGTTTCTCTTTTGCAAGGTAGTGATGTTGAACATCATTTCATAAAGTAATTATTTATTGTACTTTTAAAAGCATTTTTACTATCTTGATTAATTTTCAAAATTATTATGAGCGATACATGGGCAATAGTATGCCCATGACTAGTAAAGAAAAAGGGTATGTGTAATTTTAATGTTTTTTTGTCCTCATAGTTTGTTAGTTGTTAGTCTATTTTGGATAGATACTGTGGTAGTTATCTGTCTGTTTTACTGTTACTAAAAAATTCCTAGGACAATCAACTAAGAAGGAAGAAAAGTTTGCTTGGCTTATGGTCAGAGGAGGAAGTTTTTTGCTAGCCCATTGCTTTTGGGTCTATGGCAGGGTAGGATATGATTGTGGAGAACATGTACTTGTGAAAACCTCTAACTTCATGGTGGAGAGAAGATAGATCAGAAGAGACAGGAAGGATCCAGCATTACATAATCCCATCAAGGGCTCTATATGATGCCTGTGATGTAACTTCATTCCTGTGACCTCTACTCCTAAGTGTTTCACTACTTCCTCATAGTTTCTCAGGCTGGTAATCAAGTCTTTAGACCACGAGCCTTTGGAAAATAATCATATAAATAATCTACCTTCATAGTCTATCTTCTGTTGAAAATCAAGCAGAAGTAACCTGAATTTTTGCATTTAGGGAGAAAAAATATAAATATTTTTCTTTCTGGCTATAGCCAAGTGACTTAAGCAACTGATTTATCATATTGAGAAGTCATTTCACAGATTTGTTCAATGAGGTTAGTAAATCTAACTTATAAAGATACAGTTGAGTAATAAATGAGATTATAAATGCAAACTGTCTGGGCAATATAAAACCAAGCATGCAGTGACTGAATGCAACAGTTGCAAATGCTAATCTTGGACACACTCATTCTCTTTGTACCATTCACATTCTGTGGAAGACTGTAATGTATCGTCTTCAAGAAAGATCTGATTTTTAGCTCCTGGTTCTGGCCGCACGGTGTGGGTTCTTGTAGCGGGAGGGGTGGGAGTCCCCCAGAGTTAAGTAGCTGTCGTCCGCTGTGCCCGTACAGCCGCCAGCTTGGTTTTTCTTCTTTTTCTACCTCCCGTTCAAAGAGTGCGAGTATGTCGAAGCGGCACCGGCTGGACCTGGGGGAGGATTACCCCTCCGGCAAGAAGCGTGCGGGGACCGATGGGAAAGATCGGGATCGTGACCGGGATCGTGAAGATCGGTCTAAAGATCGGGACCGAGAACGTGATAGAGGAGATAGAGAGCGGGAGAGGGAAAAAGAAAAGGAGAAAGAATTGCGAGCTTCAACTAATGCTATGCTTATCAGTGCTGGATTACCACCTTTAAAAGCTTCCCATTCAGCTCACTCAACTCACTCTGCTCATTCAACACATTCTACACATTCTGCTCATTCAACACACACCGGACATGCAGGACACACATCACTTCCACAGTGCATTAATCCATTCACCAATTTACCCCACACTCCTCGCTATTACGATATTCTGAAGAAACGGCTTCAACTCCCTGTTTGGGAATACAAGGATAGGTTTACAGATATTCTGGTTAGACATCAGTCATTTGTATTGGTTGGCGAGACCGGGTCTGGTAAGACAACACAGATTCCACAGTGGTGCTTGGAGTACATGCATTCATTACCTGGACCCAAGAGAGGAGTTGCCTGTACCCAGCCCAGGAGAGTGGCTGCAATGAGTGTGGCTCAGAGAGTTGCTGATGAAATGGATGTGATGTTGGGACAGGAGGTTGGTTACTCCATTCGATTTGAAGACTGCAGTAGTGCAAAAACTATTCTTAAGTATATGACTGATGGGATGTTACTTCGTGAAGCTATGAATGATCCCCTCCTGGAGCGTTACGGTGTAATAATTCTTGATGAGGCTCATGAAAGAACATTGGCTACAGATATCCTCATGGGTGTTTTGAAGGAAGTTGTAAGGCAGAGATCTGATTTAAAGGTTATAGTTATGAGTGCTACTCTAGATGCAGGAAAGTTCCAGATTTACTTTGATAACTGTCCCCTCTTAACTATTCCTGGACTAACACATCCTGTTGAGATCTTTTATACTCCAGAACCAGAGAGAGATTATCTCGAAGCAGCAATTCGAACAGTGATCCAGATACATATGTGTGAAGAGGAAGAAGGAGATCTCCTGCTTTTCCTAACTGGTCAAGAGGAAATTGATGAGGCCTGTAAGAGAATAAAGCGTGAGGTTGATGATTTGGGTCCTGAAGTTGGTGACATTAAAATCATTCCACTGTACTCCACGCTTCCGCCGCAGCAGCAGCAGCGCATCTTCGAGCCTCCACCTCCCAAAAAGCAGAATGGAGCCATTGGAAGAAAGGTAATGTTAGAAGTGCTGTGTAAGCATTCCGTTAGTACTGTAAAGGAATTGAGAAAGAACAGACTATGTTCAGTTTTAAGAACTAAGCATAGATGTTTTGATCTTCATTTTATACAACAGAATA